GAGCTGTTGACCATGTTCTTCATCAGTCTCAGTTTTATGACAGAGAGACAAAGAGAAATACAACAGTAAAGAAAACTAATAAAAGCTGGGCTGCAGACTCAAAACAATCTAGTCAAAATCTAGCCAGTCTAGTTTTTCTTCCTGCAAGTTTCCTTTATCCAGTGATTCATGAGAAGAGTTGTCTCCAAATAAAATCAAATACGAAAAACAAAAATTTTACACATTCTGCAAGTATTATTCAAAACAACCACATCACCTTTAAAACCGACTGAGTTTAAATTTGTTTTGTCAGATAGCAGTGGCTCCAAAACCTAATCATGAAAGTTTCATTAAATTACATTCAATGGTTCATGTGATATTTTGCTAACAGACAAAATTGTTCTTGTCCACCTTTGCCTTTTGGGATGGGGTGATTAAAAAAAAAACTACTTTTATTTGGAGAAAAATGGAACAAGAATTAAAATCACGAAAAGAAGCTCTTTGATTTAACTTGAAGTAAAGGCTCGAGAACGTTTCAAACATTGGTAGAAAAACTCTGCTTCAGTCATTCGTCCCTCAGGCAACAAAAATAGCTTCTGTTCGGCTTTTTTAACGATCGACACCGTGTTCAGAAAGAAAGCAAAACAAGACCCAGTGTGCTGAGTGCTGCTTGACTGCCATGTCCAAGGTGGGTACAGAAAGTGTGAGACCGTTATACAGCGGGTAAAATAAGTATTGAACACGTCTCCATTTTTCTCAGTAAATATATTACTAGAGGTGCTAATGACATGAAATTTTCACCAGATGTCGATAACAACCCTTGAAGGTTTCGTGGACCTCTTCTATGAACTCTGATCTTTAGTTCTTTCCATTGATTTTCTGTTGGATTCAGGTCAGGTGATTGGCTGGGCCATTCCAGCAGCTTTAGTTTCTTTCTCTGAAACCACCTTGACTTTGTGTTTGGGCTCATTGTCTTGCTGAAATGTCCAGCCACGTTTCATCTTCATCATCCTGGTAGATGGAAGCAGATTTTTATCAAGAATGTCTCTGTACATTTTTCCACTCATCCTTCCTTCAATTATTTAAAGTTTGCCAGTACCATATGCTGAAAAACAGCCCCACACCATGATGTTCCCACCTCCAAACTTCACTGTTGGTATGGTGTTTTGGGCTGATGTGCAGTGCCATTTGACCTCCAAACATGATGTGTATTCTGGCATCCAAACAGTTCAATGTTGGTCTCATCTGACCAGACTGTATTCTCCCAGTATTACACAGGCTTGTTTAAATGTTGTGCAGCAAACTTTAAAGGAGCTTCAACATGCTGTTTCTTCAGCAGTGGAGTCTTGCGTGGTGAGCATGCATACAGGCCATGGTGGTTCAGTGCATTACTTATTGTTTTCTTTGAAACAAWCGTACCTGCTAATTCCAGGTCTTTCTGAAGCTCTCCACAAGTGGTCCTTGGCTCTTGGACAACTCTTCTGATAATTCTTTTCACTCCTCTGTCAGAAATCTTGTGAGGAGCACCTGGTCTTGGTCGGTTTATAGTGAAATAATGTTCTTTCACTTCTGAATTATGGCCCCAACAGTGCTCACTGGAACCTTCAGAAGTTTAGAMATTCTTCTGTAACCGATGCCATCATTATGCTTTGCAACAATAAGGTTGTGAAGGTCTTGAGAGAGCTCTTTACTTTTACCCATCATCAGATGGTTCTTGTGTGATACCTGGCCATCATTTGGGACTGAACCAGCTGATATTAACTTGCACTGACAAGGGGCAGGCTTGCTTTCTAATTACTGAGAGAGTTCAGCTGGTGTCTTGGCTTTCCATGCCTTTTTACACCTCCCTTTCTTCATGTGTTCAATACTTTTTCCCTGTGCCATTCCACATTATTACAAATAACTTCATTTCTGGACATTTATGGTTTGATTTCTTTGTATGTATGGATCACTTTGGGTTGTTACCGACATCTGGTGAAAATTTCATGTCATTAGCACCTCTAGTAATATATTTACTGTGAAAAATGGTGACGTGTTCCATACTTATTTGACCCGCAATATGCGTGTGAATGTGAGCTGAAGCAGACAGACAGGCAGACAGGACAGTCGAAGGCCTCGGGGAGTCCCTGTTATCTTCTAACAGGAACATTCATGAAACGTCTCATCTGTGAAATTCTGAAGAAAGGATAAAAGGAAGGAAGACAAATGGGTGGACTTTACCGCCATCACGTCTTGGATTTGATCTTTCTCAGCGTCTTAAAAATAAATTCAAAAGAAGAAAAAGGAAATGAACATGCTTCGGTTGTAAACGTTCTCGTTTGATGTTTGGATGCAGCGAAACCTGAAACRAAACCGGCAGTCATAAAGTTAAGTGAGCTATCAGTGCCGTGACAAAAACATTATTCAGCTTTTCAACTTTTTGTCACGTTACAACCACAAGCTTCAAAGTATTTCAGTCAGATTATTTTATGTGATAGACTAACACAAAGCAGTTGAAAATAAATTATGCATTAAAATTTTTTTACTGAAAAAAAAAAGTTTGTTGCACGTGTTTATACCTGCTAGAATTAGAATCCAGAGCAACCCTTCAGGAGTCACTAAATTACTCCACCTGAGCATATTTTGGGCTCTACATGAAAGTCTTTTTATTATGTTAATTGCAGAAAGTTTACTCTACAGTTGTGATKTTCACAAACCTTTTGATCGATGTATTATTTCACCACTAGTTGCTATAAGTAAACACTCTGCTTTTATTATTACTCTTCATCTGCTTGTGCAGATTGACTGCAGCTGTTCGTAGTGCGCATGCGCAATTTCAGATCAGTGTTGGGCGTTTCCAAAAACCTCCACTCTGAGACCTAATTTCAAAAAGCTTCGGTGTCAGAGAAACAATGTTGTCAAGTAGGCAGAAGTCAGAAAATGCAGCAGAAATTCCTTCATTTAAAAATGGAGTTGTATAAAAAGCAATTTTTTCAGTATAATTAAAAGACCTCTGAGGGTTATTACAGAACATTAGTGATCAAACAGCATCTTGAAAAACAAGGATCACAAACGATCTATTACAAAAAAAATCATAATAAAATACTTTGAGCTTTGTGGATGTAATGTGACAAAATGTGGAAAAGTTGAAAAGGTTCAAACACACTGTATGAGTGGATCAGAGTGATTAWAGAGCTGATTGTTGCCTGATGCCCTCTGCTTTGTAGGTTAAGTCAAATCCGTATTTCAACCTGGAAAGACTCACACACAGAAATGCGGCAGTTAAACAGTTTTATTGATATGAAAATGTTCTTTGGCGCTCGAGCYCCGGCAGAAGAYGTGAGTGCAGCGATGTGAGCTAGCACACAGCTTAGGTTTTAGGAATAACGTCTTCACCCCAGGGCTCGGACACTGGTGGTGGTGTGGAGGCCAGAGGGAAGGGGTAGCCAGGAAGAATCTGAGAKGAAGGTGGAGAACGGGTGGGGGTGGGTTGAATGCGTCCGGAGAGCAGACTGATCCTTGGGTGCCGGGCCTTTAGACCTGGATCCCTGTGAGATGATCGGTACGTTGAGGCGAGGATCTGATCTGCAGCTGTGAGACCAGAAACATGTGAGGCGGAACAGTCTGGAAGAAGGAGCGCAAAGGAATATAAAAGGACAAAAACAAAGCAGCAGAAAACACAAATCCCCACACTTTTATGGAGCTTAGCTGGAGTTCTGCTGTGTCCCGTTTCTTCCACGCCTTTAATTAGCTTTTTTCTGTTCTTGTCATGGTTGCGATTTAAAATAATGTCACCTGAGTGAAACTTTGAGGAACTGCCGGCTGCAGCGACACCACATTCATATTTACATTACAAATGAGGAAGAAATGAATGGAGGAGCCTAATTTAGCAGCAGCAAGGATCAAAGAAGCTGCTGAATTTTGTTATTGTGCCATAAAAAGAAAGGGACAGAAAACACAGCAGAGATGTAACCTTGTTATTATTTTAGCATTTAGTTATCATTATTTATAAAACATAATCTACTCATTTAAAGATTTTTTTAAGTGTGCATCCAGTGTGTGAACTACTAGCTGAATAGTTCTGTCTCTATTCTATTCTATTCTATTCTATTCTATTCTATTCTATTCTATTCTATTCTATTCTATTCGATCGTTCATGTGCACGCGCAGCAGGAG